GCACTTGGGGTGGGAGTGTGGGGGGGCACTTGATGGGGAGGGCGGCGCCAGGGCGGGGAAGAGGGGCTGGTCCGTGACGAGGCACCGGAGACTTAACTGTTTCTTTGCCTTCACCATGTCAGTGCTCTAGTGCTCTGTGGGGGCGGAGGGGTTGTCTAGCAGCTCAAAGAGCCACTGCGATCTCCTCTGGCCCACAGGACCTTTCTTTCCCAACTCTGCTTAGTTAAGAAACGCTCTTTTAGCATCAGCCAAAAGACCAAAGCCCCATGCTAGAGCACAAGCAGGGAAAAAAGGGGTATGGGCTGTGTGGGCCCTCCCTGTTTCTCTTAGAAACCATCTGCTCTCTTCCCTCAGATGCACCCAGCGAGTGACCTTCAATCCCTGGAGGAGCAGAAGACAAAGGCTAGGGGCCTGAAAACATGGGTTAGGGGTGGGGAAACTGCTTGAGAGAAAGGTTGGAGATGCGGAGTTGCTCTGCGCTTTTCCGAACCACAGCTACGGAAACCAGGAGACGGCAGAAATACAAGTCTCATTTTATGGTTAAGAGGGTAGTTTGACATTCTGGAGTGGACACATGGTGCCTAGCTCATCAGGGTGGGGCACTGGGACCCTGGGAGCTGCATACAGTTCCGTGGCAATGCAGCCAAGCCCTGTACCACACAGGCACTGATTCTTGGGATTCTTGAGTCATTGGACATGAAGAGGTAGTCCCTAAAGGAACAGGAAGCTTCCGAGCCTTTCAGTGAAGGAGTTAACAAGGACCAAGGAAGATTACCAGGGCCCTAGGTCCAAGCAAGGTTTTCTTACTATAGGCCACTTATTAAGGGTAACATAAAGTACTCTTTGGATTAAAAAAAAATCTTATAATGATTTTGTAGGGTTGTTGGGTTTCCATTATTTCATTGTCCCTGGAACTTTCTATGTTTCTTTGCTGTCTCTGTCCTATATTATTTTGATCCTTTTAATGTTGGCCCTGTTTCCCTTGGTCTCTACCTGTGTCTCAGATTTAGTGAAGTGCTCTAGGCCTCAAAGGAAGGATCTGAAGAACACTCACTTCCAACCTGGTGATGCTTATGCTCTCAAAGTTTTTCCCTGTCTTCTTCCCATCCACCCTCCCTAGTCCTGGCCAGCTCCTAAGACCTTCCTCACAGTGACATCTACCCACTCACATCCCAGCACTAGCCACACCCTTGCCCAAGGCTGCCAAGAGCAGCTTTTGAAGGTCAGAGAAGCCAAAATAGTCTCTGCTCTCAGCATCCCCCATCCCCCTTAACTGCAGCCAGATGAAAGGAGGAGCTGAGTCACTGGCATTCTTGGGGTTGGGGGTACAGAGGGGGAGCAATCCTTACTCAGATCCGGGTTTGCAAAGCAGGAACAATGGCAACAGCCCCATTTGGCTAGAAGAGGCCATCCATGGAGATACACAATGAAAACCTGACAAAGTTCCAAGCCTCACAAAAGTGAAATAGCCTTCCTTCTGCAACTTCATAGTATTTTGTTTTTTGGTTTTTTTTTTTCAGTTGGAATCTTACTCTGTCACTCAGACTCTGTCACTCAGCCACTGCAGCCTCAACCTGCTGGGCTCCAGCGTTCCTTCCGCCTCAGCCTTCCAAGTAGCTGGAACTACAGGCGCACGCTACCACGCCTGGCTAATTTTTTTGATTTTTATTGTAGAGATGAGGTCTCGCCAAGTTATCCAGGTGGGTCTTGAACCCGTGGGCTCAGGCAATCCATTCACCTCGGCCTCCAAAAGCACGGATTACAGGCTAAGCCACCGAGCCCAGCAACTTCATAGTTCTTATTTCCTCCCACCTTGAGCCTTTTATCTCCTTTCTGCTTTCTAGGGCTTTCTGGAGTGTGCTAGGAGGGAAACTTGAGCAGATATTTGGCTTGAGATTAATATAACATTTCCCAGTTCAATGCAGAGCCTTCCCTTACTCTCAGCTGCCATGCCCAAGGGCCACACCCTGGGCATGATGTCAACTCACAGTAGAGTTTTCCTTCAGTCCTCACCCTCTGAACAGCTACCCACCACAAACAACCCTCCACATGCTGTGTTCCTAGGCTTTGCTGCAACGGAACTGTAAGATACCAAAGAGAGCCTGCAGACACAAAGCGAGACCAGAAGCCCTGGATTTGAGACCTGACTCCATAATTTTTACTAATCACGCTGCTAAACAAGTCACTTAACTTCTCTCAGAGCTTGCTTCATGAACTATAAAATAAGTATAACATTAGTACCATCCTCCAATAATGCTGTGAGGTTTGAATGACATAAAAGATGAAAAAGAATTCCTAGAATCCTAAATCTTCAATATACAAATGCCACTGGAAGTCTGTCTCCCATTGTAGATTTCTGAGATATCACCTGGTGATCAGAGAAATTGTAAAGCAGAATCACAGGCCAGATCAACTCCAGAGTATCTTTAGCTTCCAGGTAAACCCAGAACCTGAGATGTCTGCAGCATGAAATTTGAAGTTTATTCATGTCCCTGCTTTCCCATATCAGACAACAGTACAGAACCCAGTTCCAGGGGCTAATGAGCTGCTGCATTAATCCAGGATGGCTTGTGTATTGGCAGAAGTAACAGAACTATTACTTCCTGAGAACATCAGTAGTAATGGAGAATCAGACAGAAGGCCTCCATATTGGTCCATCAGCCTGTTTTTTTTTTGAGTGTTAGAATATCAATTGTGAATTATGAAGCTTCCTCTCTTCCCTATGTATACACAGTAAGAGAAGTATCGGATTGTTATTGAAACCGAATTTTCCACTGCCCTGTTTCTGAGTTTGTGTTAGGATGCTCAGAAGCTCCAGATTTTTTGCACGGGTTAGAAAGTTAGGCCCTAAGTCACCACTGGAGAAAGACTACCAGCTGCAAATATCACCTTTGAAAGTTTTTACCAGACTTGACCGCTAGAAGGAGCTGGGTCACTGACTCTCTATTAGAGGGTCTCTTTTTTTGTGTGAGGGTGTATAAATGTGGAAAGGGTGGTGCCCAGAACAATTGCACTTCCCTTGTCATTGTAAGATACATTTTTGTCCCCTTTCTCAGCATTTTGGACTAGGGTTTGCAAATAGGAAATAGGAATGGTGGCCTAGCCTGTGGGGTAGGCAGAAAGGGTCAAGTCACAAGGCACTAGCTATCATCTTGAGCCCATCCCAGCTGCCTGGTTCCCTTTGCCTACTTTCTAACTGGAGACTGTAGGGAGGGGCAGTGTATGCAGCTGCTCTGGGCTGACTGTTGTTTGTGGGGACAGCTGAAAGAGGAGCCAGCAGGGGTGGGGCTGTGGCTGTCTTGAGCTGTGTGGGTTTTTCCAGGAAACTCTCCAGTATTCTCTTGTGACATAGACAGGCCACCATAAAAATGTCCAACCCTAAAAATATTCAGTATGATAAAGTAAGCCCTGATTTTGAGTGTATGACCCTAAGTCCCTCAAGGACACCTTGTCAAAATTCTTTGATTAAAAAGGTCTAGTAGGTGTTTATATATCAGTGCTTATTTCTAAGTGCCTGAGAGTAACTATGCATCTCCCTGTAAGCATCTTCCCAAGCATCCTTGAATCTTAATCTGAAGAATGGCTAAGTACTTTGTTTTAAAACTTCTGTTCATTTCTTACATCATTTCAGAAAGCAGCCTGCTTTTAAGTCTCTGTAGCCAAAAGGACAAGGCTAGAGAATTCATTGTGAATTATTAACATCAGCAGATAATCCCCAAATTTCAATTCAGTCATTACTTTCATTCCCTGTCAACCCCATATTCAGTCTTGTACCAAAGTTCCTGGGAGACTAAGTGATAAAACTGTTGATTTTCAATCATCCAGGATAATGGAGGAAGCCATGACATGAGTAATTCTAAACAGAAGGCAGTCTCAAAAGAGTGAGTAGCCTGATTCACAGAAAGTCAGTCACATCAGGAAGACGCAGTCTTACATTTTTTAAATTGCTGCACATATTCCTAGGATAATGGAGCTTACATCATATTAACCTTGTTTTCTCCAACTTTCCAGCAGCATCTCTAGACATCGGTGATCAGGAAATGATCAAAATTCTGGCAGTTAGGAGGAAGAGCAGGAAAAGGAGCAGTGACTATCTGCTGGAAAACTGGGAATTATTTGTATGAGATATGAATTCAGTCATTCAGTTGCAGTGACTACTGAGCTAGATGAATTTTACATCTCATAGAGCTGCATGGATTGGTATGTCAACATTTACCAATAACATGACTAGATGCCTGGCACTTTTATAATGGGTTGTAGAGCTTTCTGTAGTCTCCTCATAGAGATCTGTCATGGAATGATAGTTCCTAAAATCTTATTTTCTCAAATCTCTAACCCATGTCTCCCACCCAGCAGAATGGAAAACTGCATCTGTGAACTTTCATCTCAGAGCCAAATCTCACAGTGCAACTCACTCTTATAGCAGAAAACTCAGGAGATCCTCCTTCCACCCTAGATTTGATGATGCCCATCATCCCGTGGTACCAGGATTCCGCTCTGCTCTGGAGATAAATTGGCTAAACAAAAGGGGAAGTAGAAACCCTGAAACCTGCAGGGTAGGCTATACAGCCTGAAGGAAAATGCTTAGCAAGGGTATGGGAAGGTGAGTGGGGAGTTCTGGGGTATTGTAGGGGGAAGCAGGGAGACTAGTGTTTACAGAAAGGGGAACACAAACGAACAGAGTGAATTTTTACATGGGAGATGATTGATCACTCAAGAAGAGTATCTAATTTCTTTAGTGCATGTCAACAACTGTCCTCAAACAGCCCTCTTCTCAGGGAGAAATTGTGTTCTCCAGGCTCCCTTCTCTATCATACCATGTGTCTGCAAAGTATACTCAGTATGTGGGTATAGCTATGGAATTCCATGACTTTTCCCTCAGAAATCCCTCCATTCTCCTCCCCCCAAAACCTCCCACAAGTCCAGTTCTGCCAGGGAGACTGAACCTCTGTTTTTCTGTGACCAGTCTTCACCCAAAGGATTGAAATAATGACACTAGTCCTAACCTTTGACTTCCGAGGAGAAGTGAGCTAGATGCCGAGTAATGAAGAGTCTCAACTGTTGGTTCAAATCAAAGGATGATAGATCAATGTTCCAGGAGAGAATCCCTGTAAGAGAAAAAGAAACAAAGAAGATTCCAGATAAAGTGGGAGGGTACAGCAGGGAACACTTTCAAGCTCACAAGCTCCCAAAAGCGGTAAGGAGAGGGAAGGGATACAAACAGTGGCCATGATCAGCTTCAGTTATGTCTCTAAGAAAGCTAGTATCAGTGTCTATCTCCCAACCTGCACCTTTTCTAGGTTTTGCCTAAGCCAGAGAGAGAAGAGCAGAGTTGAGACTAAACTCGGTCATCAGTAAGTTTGTAGGTAGGAATTTTCTTGCAAGATTGCCCAGTCGTGGTAAATGACATCCAAGGTCCTATTCCCAGATACTGGGGCTGCCTACTCCATCTTTACAGGATTCTGGATTCTAGATTCTCCTGCTATGCCCTCCTTCTTGCCTCCACCCCTCCACTAGCTTGCTTCACCCACCCCCCCCACCCCCCGCCCCGCAGGTGGCTCCGCAGCACTGCGCCATAGGCACGACAACTGGGGTGGGAGGTGAGGACTGAGGAGCTTGCAGCCACGAAGGTCACTTTCTCAGGTTGGCCCCTGGCATACAGAGATTTGAGATTTGTACGGGGCGTTCTGAAAGCACCCTGGGCTGATTCAGGGACCCTAAAGAAGAAACAGCAAGGTAGGGACATGGACGCTTCAGGGGATAGTGAGGACTTTCCGGATATTTGGCCCAAAATACTGGGGAAGAAGGGTATGACCAGAGGGGCCCCAGGGGGGCTGTACAGAGCTCCCCTGCCTCAGAGACATTGTGGAATGTAATGGGGTGCGCGGGAAGGATGGGGAAGGGAGATGTTAGCAGCACGGGAGGATATGGACACAGCACGGAAGATGCAGGTGACAGGGGCACATCTCAGGAAGTGCACACTAGGGATGGAGGATGCAGACGTATGCACTGGGAGGTGAATGCAGATGGCAGAGAAGCACGGGATGGAGGTGCCAGAGCACAGCCAGGGCAGCGGCTCACCTTGTTCAAGGTGGGCCCGCACGGCCCTCAGCTGACTCTCTGTACCGATATCGCCGATCACAATGAGCAAAGAGTGCTTCCGCAGGTCCCAGCGTGCCGCGGCTCCAGCCTCGCACAGCGGCTCCGCGGGGTTCTGAGCCAGCGGTGCGCCGGGCCTTCTGAGCCCCAGCCCCGGAGTTGTCTCCATGGTAACGCCGCGAGGCCGCTCAGGCCCTGCCTCGGTCTCCATGGAAACTCCGGTGGAGTGCTGGGCCGGCAGGGTCCGCTGCAGGGAGAGTGCGCGCGGTTCTTAAAGGCCGGCGGCCGGTGCCGCTCATTGGTCGCTGCCTGTCAGGGGGCGGAGCACAGGCGCCGCAGGGACAGAGCTGCGGCCGGGGCGCTCTGGCTCTGCGGTGTCTCCCGGCTGGGGGTGGTGGCCGCCCCCCTCCATCCCTCTCCGGTTTTCCAGCGGGAGCTCCCGCTCCGACTTGAGCGTGGGTGGGGATTCTGAGGGGTCCAGTGGAGGGGCGAGTCGATTGCTTCGGCGCCGGAAGAAGCTTCTAGTTAAGATGTGTCCCTGATAAGTACTGTCTGGCAGTTCCACAGCCTCGCCCGAACTGAGGGGAGCCATCTTGTCCCTCTCTCTCAGAGTTTGTATCGTTGTCTCCATCTGTGTCTGTATCATCATTGTTTGGCTTTTTTTTTTTTTCACTGCCTGCCAAGGTCCTGGTCTCCATCCTCGGTGTCCCTGCCCTTGCCCCAGGCCCTGGGAGTGCTCTGGAAGGCTGCGCAGTATTGGAGGGGACAGAATGACCTTCCGGCCCTGAGTCCCTGGTGAGTTGTTATTCCGAAGATAGCGGTTGGCTGGCTAGTGTCCAACTCTGCTGAGTGCGGGACTCGAGTGCAGTGAGCTCAGACTGCAGCAAGGGGGATTTGAGTAAAACCCAGGAAAGACCTTCCTGACTACAAGTGATGTGACACAGTGAGGTGGGTAACCTAGCAAGGAGACTGTGATATTATTTCCCCTGGGGCATTCTCAAAACAGGAGGGGCGATGCTTGAACCAAAGAAGAGGTTGACAGTTCCAAAACCAAAGCCAGAGAATGGGAAAGGACTGAGGAGGCCTGGCACTGTTTTATGACTGACTGGAACATCTTTGTAAAAATGGTGCTGTAAGTCGAGCCTCCCCAGTTTCTCAATGTGTTTCCACCTACTCTGCACTACAGAATCTTCTTTTACTCAGGACTCAATATATGTATCAGACAGACTGTCTTTCACCCTAGGGTTCCAGCAGCACTTTGTGTGTGTGTGTGTGTGTGTGTGTGTGTGTGTGTGTGTGTCTTATTTTCCTTCCACTTTGGGGACAGTATAGGAAAGAGGAGCACGGTACCTGTTTCAGCAAGGCTGCCAGTGAGACACATTCTGATTGGGCAGTGTCTGCATGTTAAATACCACACAGCAATCCTGATCCCTATCATGGAGCATCTGTTCTAGAAAAACAGCCAATTCATTCTGCAACCAACTTGGACGTGGCCCTGAAAAATCCTTTCTGCAGAAGAGAGAGGGGAGAATAAGAGTACTGGCAGAACATCAGCTGGTGGGAATGCCTTACCCAAATGACACATGAGACAATGTTCTGGCATACCTCCACCCCCCTCTCCCCACTATTTGTGGATCTGAATCTGGAAAAGAGCATGGAGCGATGTGCAGGCCTTCTCTTCTGCAATCAGAAAAAGAGTACCATGTGGAGGCAGAGAGCCAGAATAGGTTGTGGGGAGAGGAAGAGGACAGTTTCCATAGCAACTATAGAGCTGAGGCCTTTAACTAGCACAGGGTCTCAGTATAAGGGTCAGCAACAGTTAACCACAGACTTTGCTTTCATCAAGTCTGACAAAAGGCTAGACAATAGATCTGAATGGTATAGAGAAGGATCACACACTGATTAGATGGTAGGGGCAGAAATTCCGGCCTATGATCTCAGGCCCTGCTAGAATTAGGTTTTAGTAATCACACCTACAGATATAGATTATGATAGCACTAAAATCACTTGTGTGTGCTGGATGAGCAGCAATGTAACAGAAAGGTTGGGTGCAGGAATCTCTTCATTATCCCTCTTTCCTTGGTTAACAGTACCCCAGCCATTGGGATCTTTGTGGTGGTGGAGACGATGGTGGGAAAGCCAATGGGTGATGATTCCAGTATCATCATATTATCAGAATTTTTTTTAAGAGACAGGGTCTTCCTCTGCCACCCAGGTGGGAGTACAGTGGCATGATCATAGATCACTGTAACCTCAGACACCTGGGATCAATGATCCTCCTGTTTTGGCCTCCTCAGTAGCTGGGACTATAAGAATATGCCATCACACCCAGCTAATTTTTAAATTTTTTTGGCCAGGTTTGGTGGTTCAGCCTGTAATCCCAGCACTTTTTGAGGCCGAGGCGAGAGGATTGCCTGAACCCATGGGTTTGAGACCCACTCAGGCAATTTGGTGAGAGGTTGTCTCTACAATAAATCAAAAATTAGCTGGGCGTGGTAGCGTGCACCCGTAGTTCTGGCTACTTGGAAGGCTGAGGTGGACGGATCGCTGGAGCCCAGCAGGTTGAGGCTGCTGTGGCCGGGAGCATGCCACTGCCCTCCAGCCTGAGTGACAGAGTGAGACTCCAACTCAAAAAAATAATAATAGCCGGGCTCAGTGGCTCAGCCTGTAATCCCGCGCCTTTGGGAGGCTGAGG